TAATATAGAGTGAGTACGATGAACTAATACGTATATATGGTGCACATAAAATAGTTTATGGTGTTTCAGTAGTGTTTTTATTGTAATGTCAGACTGTCTGTGCTGTAAAACTATAGAGTCGTTCCCAGTCATCTTTACTAAGGTTTGTCTGACCTGGATGCTACATTTATAATCATGGGAAATGTTTCACAGTGTCTGGATTATTTTACCAATAAAACTCAACAGAGACACATAAAGACGTCTCGTGTTATTCTGAGCTGCAGTGATGAAATACTTGAAGGATGAAGAAGCACAGACACTATTAGAAATCCTTCTGTAACCTCTTGTGTCCCTGAGGGATGATGTTTCCTGTAATCTGGCTGGTCAGTAGTTGGGCTGTTGACAGATTTTGATCATAGTTTGTGAATTTGATCTGATTCTGTGCCGTGTATCTCCTAGTTGGCTTTGCAATGAGAAAACGAAATTGCCTCAGCAATTTAGCTTCTGCTAATATATACATTTAGCTATTAGAATGGTAATGTCGCATTAACATCATACTGAGAGAATGGGAACAATGGAAAAACCTCACTTTTCAGATTTCTTTTTTCAGAGCAGTGAAGCCGTTTAATATGTAAAATTGATTGTGTTATTTTGCTATGTTAAACACCAGACATCGGCTTCAGTTTCCTACATCTGTATTCTGAGGCTACACCACTAAAAGTCTGGGCATCTTCTGTTACAGACAGCTTGTAATTTTGACAAAGAACAGCTCCACTTTTTGCCAAGTAGTACAGCTGTTCAGTAATTCCCTCATTTCTCAGGCAGTGTCAGTCTGTTTCCCCTATTGAGTCATTTTAGTTCTTAGCTGCATAACAATATAGCTCCGCTGAACAGGCACTATATCTTCTAGCAAATCCTGCATATTTTGTTGAATACGCAACGCATGTTTGTATTGAAATAAAGTACCACATATATTTTACTGATACATTTCAGGGACACATAGTGTAGCTTTTTGATATAAGCGATTATGAAACAACTAACAAATAGAAAGTTATATTAGCAGTCTAGACATGCTTGTAGACTAATATGAAAATCAGATAACAAAAACATAGAGATATCAGTAAAACAAATAGAGCTCTGCTGTCTTTGTCTGCCACTGACCTGCTCTCTAACTCTGTTTTGAAGAATGATAAATGTGATAATGCTCCTGCAGGGGCCATATGTTCACCAGGATAATTTTAGTATCAGATGTTATTAATCAAGCATCCAGAGCAGGCAAGAACAGACAGGACTGTCTCAAAAGACGAAGGCTACGTCTCTGAGGTGACAGGTTATTTGCCCTGCAGTAAGTGCATTTTAAATATAAATATGATCCATTTATCTCAGGCACAGACAGGACCAGCTCTCCAATATATGGAACTTTCAGTTTTGATCAAAGTTTTAGTGATGAGTGTGACAATGACACACAAGGTTGTTTTTTTACTTAAACTGCTGTTGAACAATTAATTCCAACAATATCAGTGCACTATGTTTGTATCTTGTGGCTTTTTCTAAACAGTGTGTTGCACATTTATTTCCTGCTACTGATGCTTACCATGAATTGAAAGGGAATAGTTCTCTACAAAATCAAGCTCCGACACACATCACTGGGGATAACTTATACAGTGGCTGTTAAAATAAACCGTCTGTAATTTCACAAACCTGTAGGTAATCACACTCTGCATGTCTATAAAACCTATGGTCCCGCCACTTTCATTCCTAAATGCTGTCAGAGAATTTAGGTAAATGTTAAAAAGTAAACAAAGCTAAACAAACAAATAAACAAAAAAAACCAACTCAAACAAACAAAAAGCTCTTCTCTAAAAGCACAGCTGAGCCGACCTGCAATTTGGAAACTTTAAAGTGTGAGCCATGTGGCAAGTTATGCAACACAGATCTTAGAATATTAGTTTTAGAAAGCATCAAACAAAGCCAAAAAAAAAAAAACATTTTTATCTCATATTCGTCACAGAGGAGATTAACCATTTCTAAAAACAATGTGCACTTTGTAAATACCAAGACTCGCACGTCACTCAGACAAGTTGAGCAGTTTTCTCACATGCTTTGGACTATGACTTTGTTTTGATCCCGGATTCCCACAGCATGCGTTAGACATGTCTTGGAATTAATTAGTGCCAGGAATCAGTGTGCTCCTCTCTAGTTCTCACCAGGACTGCTGGTCTTGGCTCCATTTCAGTTTGGAGCCTCTGTCTTGATGCGGGGTGAGCATCTGACTCACTGATCCAAGGCTGCTAGAGTTTTGTGCAGAACTTGTCTAGTATGCAGCGAGCTGTGGTTCTTGCAAGCCTGATCATGGTTTGTGTGTATGTCCATGATAGAAGCAATGCACTACAATTACATATAAACAAAAGAAAAAGAACAAAAACTCTTGTTCATAAGTCGCATGCATGCATTCATAATGATTGCTACTCCCAAACAAAATTATGACGTTCTTTATTTGGACAACAAATACCCTGAACAGTCTAAAACCAACAATGGCTTTTCCTACTTGGACACACTGTATGTGTGGGCAAAGCCGAGCACAGCTCATTTCTCTGTGCCGTTGCCCTCCATTACTGTCCACAAACTATAATAAACGCATAAATGTGTCACACACTGCACTGGGTGTCTTCATTATGATGCTTGCAATAAACTTTTTTGTATTTCAGATTCTTAACAGTTTTCATAAATAAGCTTGGCAGGAGGCAGAGACCATCCATTATCATCTAATTATTCTGCATCCCCTGTGACAATGAATGTTATTAAATTTGAAATGCAAGTATTGCAAAAACATTTTCTGAGCAACTGCACACAATCACAAGTCAAGAATGTGTAAGATGTAAAAAAACCCCCCAAAAAACAGGAGGGAATGAAGAGAGATTGAAACATCTCCAGGCTTATTGCCACTGGCATCGCCATATGGTCACAGGTTTTGGTCACACAGGCCTTAACCAGAGGTGGAATTCTAACATACAGGCACGAGCGTTTCGAAAACTCAAAGTAAGCAGAGGACTGCACATGTTAAAATAGCCACAAAACCATGAATTTTAGATAAATTAAAGCTTCACTGTATTGTTTGATGCTGCGGTTTTGTAATATCGTGTGTTCTCTAGTAACTGATTGACGAAATGTGAGAATCAGTATCTTGTATTAGGGGATTAGTGTCACTAAGTTTTATCAAGCTCTTAAAGAGTTTAGTTACAACCCTAATTAGTACTGCTGCAACTCAATCACAGCACCATGGAAACCTAGTCCATGCTATCTATTAATTTTTTTTCCATTGTTACCTAAAACATTTTCAAAGCTATTTGTACATTTACCACAAAAAAAGTTTTAGAAATCAAGCAAATACATACGATTTTTGTTATTTAAGTTTTGCAGTTCAATTTATTTCATCATTCAGGTAACTCTAATACATAATTATACATTTAAATGTCAGACATTGCACACTAAGAATGGTGAATTTTAATTCAGTATTAAGGTAGTTAACACAATTAACATAATTGCAGACGATCAATAGGACAATAAGAGAAGCTATTCCATTTGTATTATAACAAAGCATGCTCTGAAATGTGCTGACTGTTGAGCAAAGACCCAGAATTGACGTTCTGCCAAGTGTGTGCATTTGCATGTACAGTATCAGTAGAAAGTAGCCACCCACATTGCAAGGCTTTATCTCAACCCACCTATAAACTAACACTTGCATCAATATGTCTAGTTTTTCATACAACACAATGCCAATATGAAGGCAACTTGTATGCTGTATAGATCGCTGTGTTTGCAGTGCTGGGAGTAGATGTGGATGAAACAGCAGTGTGCATTCGTATTTCTACCAAATGAAACTCACATGTCTGCCAGTGAAAGACTGCAAGCATGTGAAAATGAACACCTTCTGTTGTCAGTGGTAGTATCAGTGGCCGGTCTTCACTATATACTTGTTAAAATGGCTCCTAATGATCCAGTGTTGTTCTCATTTCTAATCACGAGTTGGAAAAGAAGAGTCACTGGAGGACTTGTACCCTTGAAATCCAATAAGCCACCGTCGCTGTCCTTTTCCATTTAAATAACGTCTGAACAATAAACCATGTGAAAGTGACGGCGACACAGAGAGCAGCACTCACTGATTTATCATGCCTTCATCTTGAGATGAGTTTGGTCAAGGTGCCCTGTCTCAGATAGTGCCCTTCACTAATGCTTTACATCAGTACATTTTTTGAGACGTAACAGCGGTCACATTTAATGGCACGGGTATTCTTAGAAATCTGCTTTGTGCAGCTGCCAGCGGAAATGAAAACAATTTAAATGGATGTTTAGTTCATTCTCTGAGCTGTTAACAAAGAATGGAAAATTATTTGTCCTGCTCTTGGAGACACAGAGATGCACTACTTGTGCTGCACAAGGCAAAAATAAAGCTTCTCTTACAGTACACAGCTATACATAAAGAGTATCACTCTGCTTCACACTATTTCAACTTTATTCCAAGAGTGAACCTACAGTCCTGCTGTGGGTGGGCGTACTGTATACACAGTGCAACTTCATCTCATAAGTGAAGACTTCTGGTCGACCTTACAGTTATTAAATCAGCTCCCACTCTTAAAGAGCATTACCCTGATCTTTTACAACACTTAACTATCAGAATTGAGGGACTGTGTACAAACAAGAACAACTATGCTCTCTTGCTTTTTCTGGTGATTTTCAGTCCTGTGAGCAGGTGTAGGCTGCATGAGCGATGGTTCTCATGGGAAAATAACCATCACCTTTAATTTTAATCCTTTAGGGAATCAATGACAGTTGAGTTCTTGCATTTTTGTGCATTAAAACACAGCAGCACTGTCTGCTTGTTCTTCCATATGATGTTGTTTCTGAAAGACTGCCCTGTGAATAAATATGCCTAGAAGGAGATTAAGATAACATCATTCACTGCAATATAGATTCAGCATGCCCGGTAAATTTGTCTAATCTTATTTCCTGTTTCCGTCCAGGAGTGGATGGCATGGAGTGTTCCCTCCCTATGGATGGCAGACGTGTATCCCTGACCCAGCTCTCCAAGGACAGCTTTCGTGAGTGCCAGGCCACTCTGACTCTAACAGACCTGCTCATCATCATTTTCTCTGGCATCTCAGTGTCTGTGGTGGCCATCATGACCAGTTTCTTCCTCGCTTCAACTGTTCACTGCTTCCAGCGCTGGAGTAAAGGCACCAAGGGGGACGAGGAGGAGAGTGAGGAGTGAGAAGGATTTTTTTTGTGTGTTTTCTGAAGGGCCCGTGTGGTCCTGGTACTTCAAACAATGAGAGGACATGGCAACAGCATGCGCCCCATGCTGTCTGTTCCCTGGTGGATATCCAGGTCTGTTTAATGGTAGGATCTCACCCTGGCACGTTTGCAGTTGTTTTCTTTGCACATGGACATCTGAAATATGGTGATAAAAGACATTCCCAAGGAATGAGTCCCATTAAAGGTTAGTGAGTGTGCTGCTCCACTCGTAAAATGCTATTATATTTTTGGCTGTGGGAGCCTGTGGTCTTCATTTATGACCACCAGGTCACGGCTCAGCGTTATAGGCCGACACAAATAAGACAAGGCCAACACCTTTGTAATGAAAAAGAAATTGATTACAAAAAAGAGCCGTTGCTGTAGTGCTGTCACGTTAGTCTTAGAGAAACCAAAAAACGTATCAAAATCTACTAATGTTGAACATTTAACTCTGGAATCTGAAATCCTGTAAAATGGCATCAAAGTTAGTGTGACTTTTTGGATGACCTTCTTTTGGGCTTTATCTGGGAAAGGCAGAAACTTTAATGTTGATCCTGTTGGGGGAAAAAAAGGATGTCATACTGACCAATGACCTCAGTATTTAACTGCCTATAACACGATATGCTGGCATATCCTGCCATTTATAGTGTCTCTTTTGGACAGCCTCACTCACTGACATTAAAAAGTTGTTCACAAGGAGTTAAGAAGAAAAACACTGTTGTTCCTTATGTGTGTGAAATTAAACAGCGGCAGCAAGGTCATTTGAACAAGAAAGATTTGGGTGATGATGTACTGTAGGCACAAAGAGAGTCTACACATTCTTTTAGCAGTATATTCATTATATAATCGAAAACTGATGTACAAAAGAGAACATTGTACAGACAAACAAACATAGACATCAAAAGGATATACTGTTTATCCCTTAGATTGATAACTGTGAACTGTGTAGAAAGAAATTCAGAAAATATCCACGGTATAATCTTGGAAATTATTGCAAATATGATATTAAAATAGAATCTATGTAGAATTATTGTGTCAAATAATGCACTTTAATGGTGAACCTAATTTTTTTTGCAAAGCCCCTAATTACATCATGTAGACTGGTACTGTCTTTATCTGCCAAAGATTAGGTTTTAGGTGGAAGAAAGACTCTGTTGTGGACGGTGTGTTATTTAGTGCGGTAGGGATAGCTCCTAATTAGAAGCCAAATCACACTTTGTATACACACATTGTACTCAAACAGTTATGGTCTCCAAAGATTTACATTTTCTTCTAGTCTGTCTGTGAGTGAACCAAGTGTCTTACTTGGCTTCACACGTGGCGATCTCTGAACTGTATTTTAACAGAAAGACCACTTCAGAACAAAACATTTGGTGTACGAGGGTGGCAAACAAGAGTTTAGTTTCTTGAGGAATAAATAAATGTCTGTTGTTGTCTTTGAGATATCCATATCATCATCATATTGTCCTTTAACTAAAAATCTTAAATATCTTTGCAGTAAAAGCTGCTGACGTCATATTCTGGAAAAGTCTCGTGTCTAAACTCTTACTGTATCAACAGCATCTGCATTCACAGAAGTGTCAGTGCAGTACATTCTAAATTTAATAAATCAGTGCCCTCAATATTATGGGTTTCTGCTTGTTATTTGCATTCTGTATATTTAAATCCTTCATGATTGGGAGCACACAAAACTGGACTCCCCAATCCCCCTCCAAAAAACCCAAAAAAAACAACAAGGTATATTGTATTGCTTCTCACATTCTTGTAAGGCATGAATAATTCAGTGAAATTGAGATATGAAGCAGAAAGAATGTCAAGCCTCTAAATGCAAACAAGCAGAGGATAGAGAAAGAGCCACGAGCAAACAGAGTCATCCTTTTCTGTGTGGATAACAGAAGATAAAAAGAATTCCAAATGCCTCTGTCCCTTTAGAACAAGTCATAACCCTGAATGTGCAACGTTTGGAAGCACATTTTGCAGAAATGACAAAACATAAATGTGGCCTTATTTGTTTCTTTGTTATTTTTCATTTGTGTAGGCATCAATCAATAAAAGCACAAAGATTTCACAGGAGACTAATATACTTTGGTACACCCTATAAACAGGGCGTATCATTGTCACGCTGTATGTTGGTACCGGCCTGTATCGTCACTGTATGTTTTCATTGATGTGTGTTGTCACATGTTGTGCTCAAACGGGCACATCTTGTTAGCAGTGTGAGATCTGTACTGTATGGATGTTGTGTATTTGCCAGAATTCAAAGGTGGAACACTTTGGAGACACGTGTCCATTGGAAATGATCTACTGGCCTTTCACTAAACCCCTTCCCTCAACTGTCCAGCCATAACTTAGTAACTGTAACTAGGCATGTCAGCATGCCTGTAAAGCTTTGGATTCCTCCATATGTTGACGCCGTGTGCATGCTCCTAAAGATGAGCAGTGAATATCTTAAGGGTTCAGAGGGTGATGTCTTTCTTAAAAACCTAAAACATAAGAGTGAACATGATATAACAGATTAAACTTTGTCTTTATCTGCTCTAACCTAAGCTGCAAATGATAGCATGGCTGACTAACTAGCTTACATGGCTAGGTTTCTTTTGTGGGGGTCACACCTGTTCAGAACGACCACATTCACTCTCTGGGAGCCAAGATGCTATTTTATCAGATGATCGCTACTCAGTCATGCTTTTGGGGAAGTTGACACTCAAGCAACTCCAACCAAACATGTGTTGGATACTGCTACACTTGCCAAATTGATCCCTTTCCTCAAATCCTTTTCTCTTGTGACGGTACTGTTTGAAAAGCATAGCATAAATCGAGCTGCATGTCCAGGTGTGTTTTTCTACAGTAGGCATCCAAATGTTATTTTTTAATTCCAATGCAATTCTGTTATGTTGCGGCTGACTAGTTCCAAACACAAAGTGCCGCTAATTTAAATATGTCTCGAACCAACAACTGAGGAGGTCAGTAGCTGTGTTTCTATAACGTGCTTTTATGCACATTTTTAATGACTTCATTGGAAATAGTAGCGAAATAAAATAAAGATTAAGAAAAACAACATGCATGTATGCGCTCTTAAAGTGACTTTTCCACAAAAAAAAAAAACAATGGTGGAAACACCTTTTTTGAATAATTTCTGATGTAGCAAACATTTAGCTCACATGACTGATCGGCTGTTTCTCCTTTCATTCTTGTCTTCGTCTACATGCAGCGATACATGACCAATAAAAGCTGACATGAAAGTCAACTGAATAGTTACGACTTGCCCCATTGAAAACAATTTCTAAGGACTTCTGTCCATTTTTTCTTGCAGATTTAAATAGTTTTGTATGTCCTTCTTCTTTTTGACTTTTTTTTTGTGCAGTTGGTAATCAGCTGGCTTTGCTCCTACCTTCTTCTACTCTATTCTCTACTACAGCTATGTGTAATGTAGCATTAACCACCACCTTCTGAAAACATACTTTATTTGCTCCCCAGCAGTTTATGGAAACAAGTCTAATTTGCATTTTCCCTTTATATATTCCAACATTTTGCTTCAGATATGCTCGACAACTACATGGAAACACCGCTACTGACAAAAAGTACTTCCAGTTGTGATGTTCAATCTGTTACTGTTATTTCTACAAAGTGCAGTGAAAGAATAGAAAGCTTGACAAAAATAGCAAAGGAGGTTGGGGCTTAGTGAAACAGTCAATATAAATGTCAGTCTAAGTACAGTCCTTAAGGGGAATTCCACTGAATTTCATATTTTGAAGTACTTCTTAGGACAGTATTGTCACAATTAATGAACAACAAACGCTCATAGCCAGACTGAAGCTGTCCACAGATATACGTTCTCATGGAGTGAATGGAGGGGACATTTAGGAACTCAATGAAAGTATAAAACAAGATTCCAATTGCTGAGCCGATTCTCATTTGCAGAAAACTAATTTCACTGCTCAAAACTGCCAGAGTAACTAAAGCTGATTTGGTTGATACGTTTTCCCCTTGAAACAACTGGGGAACTGCTTTCATAACTGTCACCTTAAGACACAGAACAGAAGAGAGTTTTTATACATATCATTATCATTTCGACTACTGTGTAGTTACTGTATATTAACAGATTATTATGTTAGCTTAGTCGTTAGCTTGAAGCATATGTTAGCATGACAGTTTCCTTTCTCTCTTTCTCATTTTATTAACTAACGAATAGTCAGCACATTAGAGCATGCACTGTTAAGTTTCCTGCAGTATAAAGTTCAGATTCATGTCTATTTTTCTATTACACCTTTCAAGAATGAAGCATTTATTTACACTGTCAGTTCCCCAAAATAGTTTTTTTCTGGCACTGCGCACCCTGGGAAGCAGAGACAGTGGTGGCTGTTTGTCTTGATATTGCTTAAAATACCAAAATCCATGTTATGTTTTTGTCAGATAAATGTCAGAATGGCTCAAATCTAAATGAAATGACAGAGGAGAGTGTGACGATGTTGCTGCAGCTGAATGCATTTCCAAATGTCAAACAGACACTGTCAAACAGACCGTATGTGTAGCTGTATATTGATGTTTGGTTAAAAAAAAAAAGAAATTAATAATAAAATCCTTTTTTTTTCTGTCATCTGGTCTGTATTTGTGAAGGAATTCTAGTGTATGAATACACATTATGAAGCAGGATTGTCCTTTTCTACTATTTGCATCATGCTACACCTCACCAGCGGAAAGTAATATTACTGAAGTAAAGAAACTTGATTAAAATCTTTTATTTATATTTTTGCCGTAGAGGGTCTTTTCTGTGATTAGTTTTTCCATCTCCAAGAGCACCTTAAGGATTGTTGGATTGAATGCAAATGTTTTGGGCTTCTTCTATTGTACATTTCAGTGGAAGATCAGTAACATTCTCCTTTAATGAAATGCTGCCTTGGATGTAAAGAATATCAGAACAGTGGAAATGTGACTCTCAGCAAAACGATATCCTGCAAAGTGTTAATAATGGCTGGATAATAGTTGTGAATCTCATCCTCTCATTTCCTGGAGTTGACAGATTTTGTCTTGTCACAGCAGCAAATGAGTGAGGCTCATCTGTAAACACTGCACAGTGTGTTATTTCACACAGCACTGTTATCACACCGCAGGTATGCAAATGGCTGCTCTATTTTTGGAAAGGGTGTTAGAGAAATTAGAGACTTAGAAAAAAAGAAAATAAAAAATCAAATACTCTCCGCTTGCATAACATAGCATCCAGCCTGTTCGTGGACAATCTCTTCCATTCAGAGTTGTGTGCATTCGGACAATCGTGCAACAAGATAAAAGGATAACCAAGTGAGGGGAAAATAAATTGACATGCAATCCTATCCCAGCAAGAGTTTTGTTTTCACTGCTCGTGTCCAGTTTCTCTTTTTTTTTTTTTCCGTCACGCTGATGATTCATTTCTCTACATTTTTCGCAGCATGTGCCTTTGTCATGTCCTATTGTGAGAGTGTCTAACGTGATAGTGTCCTTTTCTAAAGAGGTCTGAAGTCAAAGAATCACAGGATGAAAACAAGCCTTCCCCTCGGGGCAGGTAATGTTGGCTTGACAGAAAGCGGAATGCTGGTAAACCGAAGAGAAGAAAAGGACTAAGAATCATTTATTGTAATTCCAAACAGGATTTGCCACATTGGTTGGGTAATAGCATGCAAGAAAGACTCACACATACTATGTTCATGTGCTGCTGAAAAGAGGTCTGTGAGGGTGGTGGACGTGATGAGGATTCTCCTGCAACCATTTACCTCATTTGGTTGTCATGGCTACACAGCCGGAGGCCCGAGCTCTTGGACGCCGAGGCGGGAACAGGGAGAGGGAGGGATGCTGGGAAGCATGGCCCTCAGTGTGGCTGCCTCGCCTCTCTTTCCATGCATCAACTAACTGGACCTGGCATTTGAAAAGAAAAAAAAAAAAAAACAAATGTCCACAGCACTGAGGCCTTGTGAACCAATCTTTGACTTTCACATCCATCCACCCCCATTGATTTGTCAGCAAAAGGAAACTGTGATAGATCAGATAAAGATAGCATTGCATCCACATCATCACTGGAGTATCTGGGTGCTATTAAACAGGGAAGGCTCATTGGCCAAGGAAAAAAAAAAGGGGAGCTACCTGCTTAAATATATTGTCTGAATTTAGATATAATACATAGATTGACACAACACATTATAATTCATGCCGCTATATTATATTCTGTACACTAAACGGACACTAAACAACAATTTTAAGGTAATAAGCCGCTGAAGTGAATAAGACAGGTGCATTCTGTTTTGGAAAAGAGGCGTTTATGTATTTATTTATTTATTTACCAACTGTCTCCAGTTACTGTCTGTTCCTGACCTACAAAGACAGGAAGCGAGCAGGACACAGAGGAAAGTAAGCCAACCCTCAGAGAGGAAGCTTTGAATGAATAATGGCCTGGTGACTTACAGTGGGGATTAGGGTTTAGGGAGGAGTGGGCAGCAGAGGGGTCAGGTTGCAAAGTTCAAAAAGAGCCACACCTGATGCCTCTCCATGTCTCTGTGTAACTGACAGGCAGAGTGGTTGAAGAGTTCAGAGAGGCGGGGATTTTGTGGGGATGATGGGGGCGTCTTCTTTAACGTTTTGAAATTCACAGCTGTTCTCATAATATGTGCAAGTTAAAATTTCCCTTTTTTGTCAAGTGAAAAATCAAGACTTAATATATATAGATGCAGTTCATATTTTTAAAATACATATATTGGTGTACATATAATACAGTCGTATTAAGATTCACTTTTGGCTTTCAGTGTATTAGCAATCCCTGGCTGCTGTCTGATATTAAAGGGGCACTTTGGTGATTGCACTCTTTGGAGGACTTACAAGATCGGGGCTGAAACAGAATAGAAGCAGCAGCAGATGCAGAAATATCCCGATTTAAATCCCCGGATGACATCACCGGTGTTTTTTTCTTTTTTTTTTCAAACTTTAGACAGCTCCCTCCAGAGAAAAAGAACACATTACGCAACCGCCTGACTTCACAGGCTGAGAACTACTCCTCTTGATGAGTAAACTGAACTTCATGTGTAAAATCTGTGGAGTGCCCCTTTAGCATCCAGAGCCATTAAAGCCACTACTACTGCATGTACGCATCTGACTACCACAGTAGTAGAAGTAGTAATATGAAAAAAGACACATCACTGCTACTCTTCTTGCTCTCACTCACCTGACTCCAAGTGGCATCATTCTAGCAACAAAAGAGACAGTATCGCTAAAACTGACTACTTCAAATATGAATTTGCTTCCTCTTTCGTCGTGTCTTATCGTCGGCATGTGATGTTGTCAGCAAATTCCACAGAGGAATAAAGAAGATGTATTCGCAATTGCCTAGTCATACATTTTGGCAGAAGCATTGAAATATCATTCAAAGCCGAGAGGGTGAGAGGTGAATCGGGGACACCGCAGCTGTGAGCAGCCATGAGCATCAATGCATGCTCCTGGCAAACTGCTCATCCACTGCACCAAAACACAGGCTGGCAGGCTGGCGGAGTCAATTACCCTCAAATTGTACTTTTTATATAAAGAAAAACCCCTATACATCTTAAGATAGATGTTAAAACAATAATGCAAGGAATGATGAAAGTAATGACATCCCCCCTTGTTCATCAAAAACACGATTCTTTCATGCATTGCTGGTCTAATCAGAATTGAGTTAATGCACGTAAGGAGGATCAAATTTATCATCTTTGTTATTTACAATGATTGATGATGTCTTACTTTGGGATGAAATCGGCATTCCCGGAGTAGAGACAGATGTCAGACATCATGATCAATACAGACATTGATTTGAGGTGAACAATGCAAAAACTATCTCCTTCGCGCAAATGCAGACTGATTTCAGCTTTGAGAGGTCACTCCAGGAGCAGTCACATGACAGCCCTGCGACAAGCATGGGTTTTGTACATAAGTGACATAAGCGCATAACGGGGGAGGAAAAAAAAAGTGTTTACTGTAATCACCCCGTGGGGAGTCGTATCACCCTGTGATTGATGTATGTTGAACTGAAGAAATTAATCCAGCGCAGCAAACACAT